GCAAACGCCCTCCGAATTACCGTCCCATCCGTCGTCTTGCAGCGGCTCCGCCAAACAATTTGGACCATATGGCTCTGAGGGGCGCGATAACCCACTTAGCTCGACCCGGCCCAAATTACGGAGAGCAATCTTGTCAGCTAAATGTGTTGTTAACTCGTTACGCTATTGACTGCCTTAGACTTGCCGTACGTCTCCACTGCTGAAGACATATTCAGGTCAGCTTGTTGTCAGGGCATTTCTAAGGCACCGGTCCTACTGTCCTACTTACAGTAGGCCTTTGCAGCTATTAGCTTATATATCTGGGCAGCGAGTGCAACAGGGGCAGCTCAGACTTTGAATAATGCAAACATGTCCCGCTACCCCGAGGTGACGAGAAGCCCTCTCCGAACCTCCACTGGGCTGCATCAGTTGTAGCTCACACATCGAAATCATTAGGAATAAACATTATCGTGCACGATGTCCTAGTTACAGAGCATAAGTCAATGAGGTGACCGAAACATAGAGTCCACCGGCTGTGTCTAGCGCGGTATACAAGGCCGTCACCCCAAATGTAGACAACATATATTGTTCCAGTTAAGCTGTTTTGTTCTCAATCACAAACGGCGCGTGACATTCCACGCCGCTTCACCAACCGGACCGACTCCTCCGACGTCGACTGCATCCAAACCGGCAATCCGTCCTTCCACATCGGGAGAGACGGCGGCACCGCGTCACGCACAGAGCCGTCCGATGCCGCTGTAAGCGCGGGCCAGGCCGGCGGCGCAGACGGCTGTCAAACGCAGGGCTCGTGCGAGCTGCGCCCGTGGCCCGGATCAATGACGAGGCACGGCCGGAGAATCCCGAGCGTCTCCGCCGCCATATAGGGCAGGCAGGCCGCGCCTGGCCCGGCGGAACACCGGTCTCGCTCCCAGCGCGTCCTCCCGAACAAAACAACAGCGACGGCGGCCGGCCGGCACCGTTACGCGGCGGGGCGGGGCGGGGCGGGCGCTCCCGTCGATCTGCCGCCCCATCGGCCGTCCCATCTGCGCCCCAGGCCTGCGAAACGGCTCGGTCGAGACGTGACACATATCGGAGTGGGCCCGCGCGGCCGCGGCGTCCTCGACGCGGAAGGTCTCGGGTTCGCATCCGGCCGAGGTTCCATCCGGGCGCTACGCTGAGGACACGCCCGCATAAGCCACACTGGTACCTGGACTTAAAGAAAGCGTGGCACCACAAGTAATCATCTGGCTATGCAGCCGGATGTAAAACAGAATAGCCATCAAGCATTCAGTCCATTGCGTTTAATTCAGTTATGTCACAATCGTAAAAAACAAAGTACGAGTGAGCACTTATCTCACTTCGTGTTGTCCTGATCCTGTCACACCACGCACACGTGGAAGCTGAAACCACATTCTTCTCAACATGACGTCTGTTTCCAGCGTGAGCGCCTGACCATCGGCGCCCGCCCTCTGCCACCAGGCCCTGTCGCACCATGTTCCTGCGGACTGCCTGCCTGCCAGCGCTGCTGGTCGCGGCGCTGCTGGCCGCGCCGGCCAGCGCCGGTCGCCAGAAGCGCTTCGTCTACTTCAATCACCAGTCGGACATGACGGTGGGCCTGCTGGTGGGCGTGCCTATCTCGGTCACGCTTCCGTCGCTGCTGCCGTCGCGCAGCTGGGGCCGCTCCCTGGACGTAAGTCGGCGCCGCCCCAGGACCCCGTGGTGCGGCGCGGTGTGGTGGTGTGCGCTGGGATGGTGCTGTGCTGGGAAGGTGCGGTCTGGGGTGGTGATACGGTGTGGTGTAGCGGTGATGAGGTGGGATGGTGGAGCGCTGGGAAGGTGCGGTCTGGGGTGGTGATACAGTGTGGTGTATTGGTGATGAGGTGGGATGGTGGAGCGCTGGGAAGGTGCGGTCTGGGGGGATGAAACAGTGTGGTGTAGCAATGATGAGGTGGATGGTGGAGCGCTGGGAAGGCGAGGTCGGGTGGTATTGATACAGCGTGGTGTAGCGGTGATGAGGTCGCGGCGCGGCGGGATGATGGGGTGCTGGGACACTGGGGCCTGGCGGCGGTATGCGGTGCACCACTGCGCCGGTGGTGCACCACTGCGCCGGTGGTGCACCACACCGGCCGTGTTGCGAGCGTCCGTGCTCGGTGCGGGCTGGAAACTCTATCAAGGCATGCCGTTCCCCGGTGAGCGGCAAGACCTCTCGCCTCCCAGTCTCCCCACCAGATCAGCTCGTCCGATGCTCTTGATGGCGAGATTGCGTGGGGCTTATCTGTCTGAGCGGAGCGTGACGTGTCCCAGATTCCCCTGGGGTAGGCATCGAAGACGTGGCGTCGGCCTGACCCGGGGTCCGAGCTGCCGGACGCGTCACACTGGCTCGCTGCTCCCAGAAAAATTCATGAAGTCGCTCAGTGCAACGTGGATATAATGGGCTGTTCTATCTTCGGCGTGTCACTTGCATGAAGTCGTAATTTCTTATGACTAACTCAGCCTTAAATAGCTTCCGCGGTGTCTCTTGTATTAAAAGGAGACGTAAAGAGAGAATGAACACCAAGTCGAGTTTTTAGCTCCTATTCGTTCTATTGGTCGGACTTCCTGATTTGCGCAGTGCAGTAGGACACTTGGCATAACTCATGACAGAAACTCATCAGCGGGCGCGTAGGTTGTGACTTATTTGGGAAAGGAGGTTCCGCCTCTCCAGCTTTGAGGACAACGTGGGCAAATTCGGGGACAAAATCGCCCTCTGACGTATTGACGGGGAGGTCAGCCCATTTAGGCGAGGGTCAACCCATTTAGAGGGGATCCACCCATTTTCCGCCACCCAGCCTCCCCAACTCATTCTGCAAAACTGCGCCCCTGAAACCCCCGAGCCCCGCACGGCACACGCGCGAGTGCCTGGCGACCAGGCCTCGTGCCCTGCCCACCAAATGGCCAGTCTCGCGGCGCTGTCACGCGCGGTGCAGCCCCCAGCGCGTGCTCGCCGGCACGCTCCCAGCTAATCAGCCGCCACCGTTCCTGGGGGTGCTGCTGACAGCATCGGTTCACGTCACTCGAGCTCGCCTCCCCTGTAGATCGCTCGCGTTATTCTTCATTACTGCCGACCGCCGTCCTCGCACGGGGACGGGCGGATGCGTGACCACGGTTCATTACGGTCTTGACGCCGATACAGAGCAATGCGTTCCGGGCGTTCGGAGAAGCGTGTATGTTGCGGTGTTCTGATTGGTCCAGTGCGTGCGGCGAAATGCAGCGGAAGCGGCTGACGTCATGAACCGCATCGCACGTGGTGGGCCGTTTGTGACGGATCTGCCCGTGTCTGTTTGGCGTCTAATCACTTTTTGTGGAGTGTTTGTTTTGTCACTTGTCTCGGCGCTTGCTACATACTGAAGCTGTGTCGAAGCCGTGGGCTGCGTTTATTCTTTCGAAATTTGTTGCCTTATGTGCACGAACTTTCAATACCTTCCCGGATCTCCGGGTCCGTAAATATTTAGCATAGCATATCATTGGTCTCTTTGACTTTGTCAGGACCTATGGCGTCTGCTTACTCTCTTGATGTTTCCATGACGCCGTGTATTGCCTCAATGATCTAGACGCGGCAATAGCATCGGCCCCTCCAACCTGAAATTTGTCCTTAACTTTTCCGGCATTGCCAATAACTCTACAGTTTGTTAGCACCTTTTGGAATAACCTAATGGTCTGGAACTTGTCCATGGTCTCTGAATCTCGCCCTTGGTCCCTGGTCCCTGGTCCCTGGTCCCTGGTCCCTGGTCCCATGTTCCCTGAAACCCAACGGCGGTTTCCGCAGTCTGTTCTTTGATCCGGTAAAACGTAACGTCGGAACTCACGACGAATCACGGCGATCCACACACCCTACTGTCCGTGCTGAAACAGTGGCTGCTTCTCTGTCCCCGCCTGGGCTCCTACACCGCCCGACCCCATGTCCCAGTCCCAGTCACGGCGTAACCGCCAGTCATCGTGACGTCACAGTCACCACGTGACCACAGGCCGTGACGTCACGCGTCCGCCCGAATGCCCGACCACACGTGACCTACTGAGCATGGTGACCGGTGGAGCAGGTTTGACCGCTGTTACCGGTCTGTCCAGTGTCGAACCTGTCCATTGATGACCCTCTCTTCCTCTTGCTTCCCTCCCTCCTGCCTCTCTCTCCCTCCCCCCCTCTCTCTCTCTCTCTCTTTCTTTCTAATGGCTTCTCACATGCCGGCGAGTCCGCCAATCGGTGGCCCCTCGGAGGTGACACTGACTGCGGCACTTAAAGCCGGGGGGCGGGGGGGGGACTAACCTGATTAACTGACCTGACTGGCTGACCTCTACCCAGCAGTGCACCCGTCTAACCGTCACCCCACCCGCCGCCCGTCTGGACCGCAGCAAGCCCTGCCTGGTGTCATCTCTGGTATCGATCCCCGACATATTATTCTGTTATATCATACAGGGTTGTGAGAAGTGTCCACTGCCCATCCCCGCCTAGCCCGGCGGGTGCAGTGACCTCTGCCCTTTCGCAGGAGACCCGGCTGCCCTCGGCGGAGGACTCAGCCATTGACCCCGCCTTCCCGGAGCAGGAGGACCGGCTGCAGCAGTACTTCGCCCACCTCCAGGTCAGCCAGTTGCCCGGTCACGTGCCCCAATCAGCGTGGTGCTCCCCAGCGAGTCAGTGTGACCATTAGCGTGAGATTGCACCGATACTGCAGAGTGCCTGGGGTACATTACCATATCCGCCGTCCCTCATTACCATATCCCGCGCAGAGCTGGCGCCGGATGGCCCGATCCGAGGACCCATTTCGGCCCGCGGGCGTTTGGCGGTGAGTGAGGAGCGCGTTCATTTTTCGCGGCGCCGGGCTGTGTCCGCGGGTAAAGGCAGGGTTGCGCTGTCTGTGCAGCTGGTGCCGCCTTCCCGCGGCCCGAGCTTCTATTAATAACCGGTTGACGCCCCCTATGCGCTGACACCGTCCTCCAAGCGCAGGAGCCTGAGCCCGCCTCTGACACGACACGGCCCTCCCAAAATCGAGCCCTGATGGCGCCTCTGTCGTGACACCGTCCCCAGGGCGGCCGCCTGGCTGCGCCCCTACCGTGACTCGACGCCGCCCGGGGTACCCCGGGGCCCGGCTGCCGTCGGATCTGATCGATACCGTGGCGAGCTGTTCGCTAATGACGCCCGGCGCCGGGCCGCCTGTGGCGCTGGCAAAGCCCTGCAACCATCAGCTAATAGCCCGCCGGCCCCGGTCAGTGGGCCCCTCCCCAACTGCCGGCGGCGGCCGAGCCAAGGGGTACGCCGGCTCAGACAGGTGGGGGGACGGGGGGAGGCGGCGCAGTGTCTGCTGCGGCCGGGGCTGGCGCTGACGTGCGCCAGGTCATGATGGTGACGTAGTGGGTCGTGGAGCTCCCGGGCGGGCAGCCAGTTCAGTGGCGGTGCGGGGATGGCGGACAGGTCGGCACTCCTTCTCACGACAACGCGCCGCTTCACCGCAGCGGCAGAGGCGTTTTGATGACACGATTTGGAGTGCCGAGATTGAGACGGTGAGTGGACCACGCCGTGAGATTGTGGTCTTAATCAGATGAGTCCACTGTGTGCTGCGGTGGATTGTAGACGTGAGTCGTATCTTTACCATAATTAGCGGGCGACAACGCACTGTAGACATCACGCAGCAAAACAGGAGCAAAAATGTTTCTATTTGTATTCAGCACACAACTGCTTGGTTAGTTTGGGAGTGCCACTCAAATGAGCGGTACGTGGAAGTTTCCGTCATGCAACGTTTGGTGGAAACCAATCAGGTCCATAAATGAATGCACCCATTCTGCAGACGCGCGCCGGGTTTCCTTTAATATGCCCAGTATCCAGGCCACTTTGAACTCACCTAAGCGCGCGTCGAGCTTGGCCGTTTCGAGCATACGTCTCCCGACATTTCCGCTGACACATCTGATGACATTTCCGCTGACACATGATTGTCTGTTATCGCACGAATTCCTTTATGTCGGCACCCGGCGGGCCTGCTTGACTTGACACAATGCCCTCCATTCCGTTGTCAAACTTACGTTCATTCACTGCGTGTAAATCCAGCGGCCCGGTCAATACGCCGAAATAGCACGCGGCGCAGGTGTGGCACAGGCCCCAATGCGCACGCCATTACCGCTGTTCCGCGATGCAACAATGCAGCCCGCGACTCGGCGTCGGCCGCTTGTGCGCGCGGGCTCGCCTTGGAACGCGAGACGAGCTTACGTGACAATGGTGTCGCCCTAGCTGGTGGTTTGGAAGGGTTTCATCCTCGCTCTGATGTTCCCCGCTCTCAGACCCCGCTTCTTGCGCTTCGTACACGACGTCGACCCAACAAAGAAATGGCCCCCTTGCAGCCGAAATCTGGGAAATGCCTGCTTAGCTGGGACCAGTTTAAAGCAATACATTTCCATTACGGTTAATTTCCCCACGTGCAGTGACGTAAACATCACGTGTCAATGACGCGCTTCAGCGTACTAACTGGATCGGTAGTTTCGAAATAGCGGGATGCCATGATCAAAGCAAGCGAGTCTTTAATCAGCGGCGTCGTCTGACGCTTTCCAAACCACGCCGTCGTGGGGTGTTCGACAGCTAGAAGCTCATTATCGGTCACGCCAGGAGGTCATTATCGGTGTTCAGAAGCGCCAGCGTGGGCCATCGGCAATCAGGAGCAACAGCTGGCAGCAGGCAGACAGCAGCTCGGCTGGGAACGCCGGACTCAGGGGCCGCCGTCCGCTGCCTAACTCAAAGGCAGCCGTCCGCTGCCTAACTCAGAGGCAGCCGTCCTATGTCTAACTCAGAGACTCCCGTCCGCTGCCTAACCCAGAGACTCCCGTCCGCCGCCTAACTCAGAGGCTGCTGTCCTATGTCTAACCCAGAGACTCCCGTCCGCTGCCTAACTCAGAGGCTGCCGTCCGCTGCCTAACTCAGAGGCAACCGTCCGCTGCCTAACTCAGAGACTCCCGTCCGCCGCCTAACTCAGAGGCTGCTGTCCTATGTCTAACCCAGAGACTCCCGTCCGCTGCCTAACTCAGAGGCTGCCGTCCGCTGCCTAACTCAGAGACAGCCGTCCGCTGCCTAACTCAGAGACTCCCGTCCGCTGCCTAACTCAGAGACTCCCGTCCGCCGCCAAACTCAGAGGCTGCTGTCCTATGTCTAACTCAGAGACTCCCGTCCGCTGCCTAACCCAGAGACAGCCGTCCGCTGCCTAACTCAGAGACTCCCGTCCGCTGCCTAACTCAGAGACTCCCGTCCGCCGCCTAACTCAGAGACTGCCTTCCGCTGCCTAACTCAGAGACTCCCGTCCGATGCCTAACCCAGAGACAGCCGTCCGCTGCCTAACTCAGAGGCAACCGTCCGCTGCCTAACTCAGAGACTCCCGTCCGCCGCCTAACTCAGAGACTGCCTTCCGCTGCCTAACTCAGAGGCAACCGTCCGCCGCCTAACTCAGAGACTCCCGTCCGCCGCCTAACTCAGAGACTGCCTTCCGCTGCCTAACTCAGAGACCGCCGTCCGCTGCACACGGCGGCGGACATGGCAAGCCTGCTGTAAGGTCACTGGTCAGGGGTGACGGCGGACACTGACGTCATACGTGACGTCACACATCGGACACTGACACCAGACGTGACGTCAGACGTCGGACACTGGTCAGACATGACCACAGCTGCTTTCACAGCTTGTCGATGCCGGGTCAGAAAGCTCACGATACGTACCTTGGCAACTGGCCTCAGATATTGGAGTGACGCATTGAGCAGCTTAGGAGTTGTAATGCGAGAAAGGTTTGACGGTCGGCTGCATCTACGGGCCGGCTCGTAATCCCACTGGCCACTGGTTGACTCGTTGCTTAGCAACAGTAAAGCAGCGTAATTGTGACAGCACATGTGATCTTCATCCTCTAACGGGACCAGCACACGGCTGGAGGCCCGGGAGTTCAGAACGTCGAGCCTAGCACAGTTTGAAAGGTGTATCAGTTGTTTGGTATACACCGAATATTTAAAACCTCGAACTACCGCGAATGGCTAATGCCCTGAGAATAAATTTCCCACTGGGGTAGCTAAAAGCAGCGCAGGGATCAAACCTGCCCGCTGTGGTAGTGTCTACAGCGTGCGGGCGTGCCGAGAAGGAACTCAAGTAAACAAATGCGTCCCATTTTCGTACCTCATCCCCGAGAGTTTCAACGACGTCTGCATCCTTGTTGCATGTCGGGCTTGTATGTAAAGGGACAGCTGTTGCACCGCGCAAGTTTAAATTGAGATTCTGCAAGACCAGGCGATGATGAGGCTTCTTATAAATTTCTTGCTGATAAGAAGTTTGCAAGTAAAACGAGGCGTTGCCTTAACGATGGGTCTCGGAGTCGCAGGGAGTAAACGCGTAAAAGGAAAAACACAAGCCCACACTGCCGATACAGCTAGCATATTTCAAGTAATGAAGAACATGCCTGCAGGCCAAGCTTATTTAAGCTTTTAATGATATATACATTTCAACCGTATTTTCTCCTTCTCCCCCTCTCTCCATTTCCAACTCGTATTGTCCGTTCTGCTCCCCTCTCTTTCCTTATTCTCTCACACCGTCTCCCCTCCCGCCTCACCTCGCTTCGCCTTGCCTTGCCTCGTCTCTCCTCTATTTTCCTCTTCTCTCCTCGCTCCACCTCCTCTTTTTTCTTCCCATTCACCTTCTCCTTCACCTTCTTCTTCTCCTCCTGTTGTCCTCTGTCCTCTGTTCTCTGCCATATGTCTTCTGTCTTCTGTCCTCCGTTCTTCGTCTTCTGTCCTCTGTCCTTCGTCCTATGTCCTATGTCCTCTGCCCTCCGCCCTCTGTCCTCTGTCACCTATCCTCTGTCCTCCCTCTGTCCTATCCTTTCCTGTCCTTTCCTGTCCTGTCATCTCGTTCTTACACTTATATATATATATATATATATATATATATATATATATATATATATATATATATATATATATACGGCTGTAAATAGGCGCTGGCGTGCCACCAGTGCCTATTTCCGTTCCAAACCCAGCGTCACTGGCGTGCCACCAGCGTCTGTTTCCGTTCCAGACTTGCGGTTCTTTCAAAGCAGCAGCGCCATGCCGGACTTTTGCGCCTGGTCTAGTGCGGCAAACCTCATGGCCGCGGCGCGTCGCACGCTGTGTCGTACTATGCCACCCAGCGTGCCTGTCTGAGACCGGTGTCGCCTCCACAGCGCGCGCTGTCCTGAAGAGTTCGTGACGTGTCATTGCCACCGCAGCGTCTCGTCCGTGCGACACTGCCACACTACTTAGCCGATCCCCTAGCACACCACAGTGGCTTGGTGCTGATCCCAAGTGGCCGCGTCACACTGTGTGACACTGTGCCACACTGCGTCACACCGTGCCACACTGCGTCACACTATGCCGCACTGTGTTGCACTGTGCCACACTGGGCTACACTGTGCCACACTCCACCACACTGGGCCACATCTTGTGCCACAGTGAGCCACAACGCGTCACACTGTGCCACATATTGCGCACACTGCACCACACTGGGCCACATCTTGTGCCACACTGGGCCACATCTTATGCTCAGCGAAGGAGGGGGGGGGGGGGGGAGGGCTCCAAGCTGTGTCGCCCTGTGCCACATCTTGTGCATCACCCAGCGCTGCGGTTCCCGAAGGAGGGCGAAACGACACCCTGTCCCTCCACACGCTGCAGGCACCAGAGGGGCATCGCCACACCATGACCCGGGCGTCCTTGCCGTGCCGCAGATCCCTGAAGGGCCGTGCCAGCTGCGCATCCTCTGCGAGCTCGCCTCCAGCCCCGAGGAGTACTTCCCGGCCAGCGAGATCCTGCTGAAGGAGCTGGACCTCGGGGCCGGCGCCGAGGTCCTGCAGAGCGAGTCGCGGCTGGCCCGCCTGCTGACCGCCTCCAAGGTCGGCTTCAACAAGGGCGCGCGGCAGTGCAAGGCCGACTACGGCGCGTGCCCCGTTGGCGCCGACGACGCGCTCAGCCGCTTCGGCCTCAAGGTGTGGCAGTACCTCGCCTCCAAGCTGAACATCTCGTTCAAGAACTAGCGGGCGACGCTGGAGGAGCGTCCTTAGCAGAGGCGCGGGACGGTGGAGGAGATGGCTGCGTTCAAGGCGTTCCCGCCGACCGGATGAGAGCCAGATGCCAGTGGCGGATGTAGGGCTCGGCAAGCTGTCGGTCGACCGGTGTCCAACCGACGGCTCGTGTCACGTGCGGCAGAATTGCTCCTCCTCTGCAGGGTATTATTTTCACGTGCGGATGTGTGAGTAATTGTGTGAGTAACGACGTGAGACAAGTCGCGCGTGTTGGTATTTATTTGCAAATGGTGAGTGTTTGACGATGTAATTGATCTATGTTGCGGCCGTTGGACCCGCCGGGTCCTGAGACGATATCGTGCTCCACATTTAAATGCGTGACAGCAGTCTCTTGTTCAGTGTTGGCGCAGGGGCATAAAAGCGTGCTACGCAGCTCATTAAGGCTAACAAGAGACCGTGTCTGATTATTAATGATTTGCAAAAGTTGCTGGAATGCTCATAAGCACACGTTTGTTGCCGATGCTAGGTAGAAGTCTGTAGCAGGATCCGGATGGATGCGACTAACCTCATGCTGAAGTTGAAGTGCTCATCGTCCACATTAGGCGCTAATGGACGTGAATGTGGCGTTCTCTGTGAGCTGTTAACGCGAAAGTTGGACTGCGTGGTGTGTGTTCGACTTTGTTAGTGTTTGAGGCATTACAACGGCTGGGACCCCGGTCGGAGCCGGGTTCATCAAACTTAGCCAGAAATGTCGTGGGAAGAGACGCTTTGAAAATAAACGCTCTGGTACGCAAAGCTAGATTGTCTCACAATCGGTGACCTTCGCTCGAAATTTGACATTGACTAACGGTGGTCCATCACATATAAACTCGAATAGCTCCCATGCTTGGCTTGGCGCCCAATGTGCCTGCTAAGCAATCTGCCCCCGGCACCCCAAACTCACCCCCCAAGCTGCCCCGCTCTAGCCCGTAGGGATTTTGGCTTAGGAGTTTTCGACGCGCAGGAGTGCTCACGTACAGAACTGTCGTGCAATGCCACACAGTGCTGCAAACAGGGCTTTTGTATCCGCACGATGCAGCCGCACGACCGTCACGAACCACTTTGACCTCTGCGAGGAGCGGTCACGTGACCTTTCTCAATCAGTCGATCCCAAGGATGCGCCCGTTCTGCCATTCATACGCACCGCCGCTGGATTATGACTTTATCATCTTTCCACCACGACGTTCTTTGAATGATATGACCCAGGGAGCGATCGAAAACACATTTGATGAAGACAGGCCGCTGTCTCGCTCCCCCAACTTGTCAAATTTTGTTCTACAAACACTCACGACAAACTTCGAGCGTTTGTCAACAAGCATATGTGGAGGAGCAGTCAGTATTTCACGGTCCATACTTCTGCCCGCAGCCTTTGCTGACAGCGCTCCCAGCCGTGCCTCAGCAGTATTCTGTCACAGAGGCGCCCGTGGAATCGCCGTCAGAAAGCCGTTTCCGCCAGCGATTTCGCCCGCCTCATCCCGAGATTATCCGGGGCGATATTGCAGAGCGCTCAGTCAAACCCCGGGATCCGATTCACTGCCGCTGGCACGCTTCCTCCCCCGGAGATAGGAGCTCAGCACGTCGCAGGGCCGCGCCGCGGGGCGACTGATCGCTTCCTGTCGTGTCGGTCACGCATGGGCGCGCTCAGGAAAATGACTGAGGAGGAACCGACCGGCGACTCGCTGGGGAGGGATGAGAGCTGATACCGCCTCGCAGCACGCTGGCGCTTATAAGAAACAGGGAAGAGATTAAATGTTTCGAGCAAAAGGAAGTCCTATTTTCCAAACAACGTAATCTGATACCAGCGCGGAATAATTTGCCTGGTCGTGACCTTTTTGTACAGAAATATACGGAGCATTCCGTTTTCCCTCACTACATGGCCTGCGCGTAACTCCATCTAGTTACGTGAGTTACCTAATTTTCCATTTAATCTCGTGCCCTCCACATGAAGGCAATGATATTGTGCCCAAGGCTGTGCACATCAATCTGCAATGACCCGTAGGCAAACGGAAGAGCCGCACCTGTGAGCAGCAGAAATGTTGGCCGGGTCACCGCGTTGCTTTGCGGTCGCCATTTGTATGGTGCAGATCAATACCCCACCTGATTTCTTGCTGCACGCTTGCAGCGACGGTGCGCTGTTCACTGAAGTAAGGCCTGCGCCACCTGACAACAACGGTCACGGTAGTAGCCCATGATGATAGCAGTATTCGAGGCGGTGTTAGCGAGTGCTGCCAGGCCATTGAACGAAATTATGGTCGCCTCTTATCCGGTTCTCTTCTTTCCAAAGCAAAGCTCGTGCGGCGCACTTCCACGAAGGAGCCATCTGGAGAGGCTTTCCATCTCGGATGACAAGTTCCCTTGCGATACTGACGTACCAAGGTTGCCCCATGAGGAAATGCTCAGACAATATGTCCCCGCCACGTACATGAACAGCTTGCTGTATGGTTCCGACTTCCCACATGACGAAAGCTTTCTGCATAAGTCGGCTATGGCGCGAGTGATGCTGAAAGCATACTTCCCTAGAGGCAAAACTTTCCGGTGCTAAGTCTCCCTGAAGTCAACGAACACTGAAGCGAGATACACTTCACGGTATTCTTAGAGGACTTGGCAAGGCAACAGTGAAGATAAAGTTGTTCAAGACAATAACAAGTCATGTTCCAGAGAGGAGCACGCGGATGTGCATTCGGTGCAATTGTAGTTTGCGACAGCACAACACTGGAAACGCCTGGGTGTGTTCATTACATTTATCAAGTAACTCACGCTGCCGGGATTTAGTGTAAAATATCCCATGAAACATGGCTGCCGTCATCTCTTACCAACAACGTGTCTGAGCCGCGCGGTAGAATAAATTACAACATGAAGGATTCGTGTGATGTAATTAAAGATAGTGATGAATGTGGGATGTTACCGACACGGGAAATGGACCATACGTATAGCTGGCTAGGATACTAGACAGTCCAAGACCGACCTGTGTTTTGCAAGGTCTGTCGATTGAGAACAACGTAGCGGAAGTATTCTCGCGGGATCTTTGACTGCGGCTTTGGTGTGATCTTAGCATGGGTTAGCGAGATGCTGAAAGATAGCGTCAAGTACGTATATGGGTTGATCAAAAAGCTCGGAGACCGAAATATACAGTAAACCACCTCCTTTCACAGCGTGCCTCTTTTCCGCAGATGCGACTTTAAAAACCGGAAAAGGCAAACGCCATGAGGCAAAACCAGGCCGTCAGTCAAGAACTGCAGCTCCTCAAAACCACAGCTGCGAAAGGCAGTTGCCATAGCTCAGGCCAAGTGAAGAGGTGCGCTGTCGTGCAGAAGCTGGACACCCTTTGCCAGCTTTCCTCACTTCTTCTTTTTGATGGTCCCCTCAGGTACACCATGAGACATACTTAGTAATACTCCGTCATTGTTCCCTGGTTTGGTGTACAGTCGACCGTGATGATACCATAGAAATCCCAGAAATTGTCGCCATCACTGCGTGCACAGGCCTGGATGCGAAACTTCTCCGGAGTGGGAGACCCTTAGTGCTTCCCCTACATGCTCGTTCGCTTTGACTCGGAGTCCCAGTGGTAAAGCCATGTCTCGTCCCCTGCCACCGGACGTGAAACGAAATGCACAGGTTTAGCTTCGAAGGCAGCGGAAAGCTCTCACTCAGTGCAGCCTTCTGATGTCAATCGCGTCGGTTCAGGTTTTAGAGCACTCATCGGGAAGAGGCCTTGCTCTGGGGTGATCACGGACAATCGTCCAAGCCGTGCCAAATGATTTGCGGAGCTCAGTTGCAATTTCTGTACTCTTGATCAGCCCACCTTTTAAGATCTACTCTTCTACAGCCTCGAGTAGTTCGGGCGTTGCGGCATCACAGCCTCCCCCTAAACGAGGGGGGGGGGGTTAGCTACGTTCACGTCCACGTCCACGTCCACCTGCGAAATGGTCGGATCACTCATCCACCGTTGAGAAACGGGGGTTAGTTCCTGTGTACACATCAACCAAAAGCTAGTGACTTCCCTTGGCACGTTGGCTCTTCGTCAAAAGTTTTACGGTCGCTCCTCATTCAAGTATGCATGCATCGTTCATAGCCGCTATACCATTGCCCTTGAGATGCTGCAGTTCAGCGTGCTTTAGCGGCGGAGAAGCGAAATTTTGTACTCTGCAAGTAAAAGCACGTGCTTTCACTTCGTGATGCAAAGCATACGCCACACTGCCAATACATACTCTGATCTGCGGACTTTTGATCCACTCTCAATGTGGAATTCAGTCCTCGTACAAGGGGTTAAACACACATTAGACAATATCAGGTTTTAGTGAGCAGGGGAAGACTGGAGGGTCGCTTTGATCGCTGGATGGTCTCAGACATTCGGCGCGCTTTTCACCCCAGGCCCGCTGGTACCGCCAACGTCTTTGAGCGCCTACCTGGAGATCAGCTCTAGTGATCACTGGCCATGAAAACAGCCACAAAACACGATCTTTGGGCTGAATGGGGTCATCAAGCGTAAGTGATAAACATCGCGTCCTAAAACACGATCTCTGATCACGTTGAAGGCCGCAGTGCTTCGCAGAGCTGCGCATTTTCAGATGTTCATATCACATGTTCGCGAAGTCATGTTTCAGACAGAGACGCGTGGATGGCCCGCGAAAGTACCACCTCCGCTATTTAAGGCTCTTCCTGCCGGTGCGTAGGTTGATCGCGTCGGGGGCGAGGGGAGGGGAACCCTTGACAATTCAACGCCGTACTCCCGGACGGTCCTCTCCACTCCAGCCTTAAAGCGCACTTGACGCTGGAGAGCAGCAACTCCATACAATCATCGGCTACCAAGGGAGCCCTCTAAGACTCCTCCAAAGAATCTAGCGGGGTCAAGGGTCACTGAACCAGCGAGCCGACAGGGCTCTTCAAGCTCCCCGGTATAGGCGTGCTCGTTTACTGGAGTGGGACGGCGGAAAGTTGGCTCGAAAGGGTGGCGGCTTAACTTGCGATCAATAGCCAGGCTCGTTACGTAAAATTTATTTCACCTCAGATCTAATCAAGTGCGTTTTTAGATCTTTCCCTAGATTTGAAGTGGAAGTTATGTGATTACTTTCGTGAGTAAAATAAGAGATAATATCACGCTACTGGTTATCTGCCATCGACGAAATAACGCACATCACTTATACCAACAAACGCCGAAGACCCATTTGTGCGACGTCACTTTATATATCCTCTTCTCACACCGACTAGTCCCGCGTGTCCAAAACTGATATTGCTCACATCAGACGTCAATAAGCATTAGGAACACCAGCGCGGATATCTTTCATGACAGCTTTAGTATTTCTAGAGTTAGAGCCGTCAAATATGTATGTTTTAACTCGATAACATCTTTACGCAGCCTTGGGACGTGTCATGCACTTTTTATGTTCGTGCTTCTGTGTATTGTGTATCTATTGCATTTCATTCGCACGACTTCGCCTCTTAGGAAAGCGCTGCTCCGTTGGCGATTAAAAACAAATAAAGAACTTATAGCTAAGCATTGACAATATATGTTCTTCACGTTGTCTTTCAACAGCAAAGGCACTATGGCTCCAATTTTAGCTCGGAAAAGACAAAGTTGATGCATTTTACCCCTATTCGTGTCGATTGCTCTCCTGAATCCAAATGAAAACCAGTGTTGCTGAGTCCGACCGTGGTAAGTGCATTCCCCACGAGTAAACGCTTGGTGTATTTCGGCCTGACCCACACTCTCCACAGCTCCGGTATTTAGACACAATATCCCCTGAACGTCCGGCACCGAACCCCCGCGAGAGAGGCACCTGACACTGTTGACACTTGTGACTCGAAAATTAACTCGCTCCTCCTATGCGCTTCCGACCATGCCAGGCTGGCTTGGTGCTCGCAGACACCGCCGCTCGCGCCTCGCCCACTCACCGGCCGCCCAGTCCGCGCTGTCGGTGTCGACGGTCAGCGCTGTCGGTGTCGATGATGCGCGCAGTCGGTGTCGACGGTCCCCCCACGTCGGCCTGCCCGCCGTGCCGCCGGCCGACCATCGACTGCCGCGTCGGCCGCACTTCGACGCGTGACGTCACAGCGTCGGTCAGGCGCGTCGCGAGCCCCCCCCCCCCCCCCCCTGAGAGGTCCCGCTGGTCCAGAACGCACGACGAGTGTGGCAACGAATGGACCACGCGGAGGCCGTACATTCTTTGAAGGCGTAGGATAACGCCATCGCATTAAAAAATTGCGGATATACTGCGGCCGCGCCAACACCAGCTCCATTTCTGCATAGCGATCTTCCGTCTTAGGAGTGCTGGCGGCGCCGAAGGGGTGGACGTGTCGGACAACGGGGGAGTAGTGTATCGACAGTGACGGACAGCCACGTGCGTCCCCGGGCGGTGCGTCACCAGAGGGAACCGCGGTCGGGGACCGGGGGCCACACGTCTAGAAAGGGGATACACGTTCAGAGCATCATGCGAGTTCGAAATATGCTGTAATGACAGTCTGACATCCTTATGGTCGGCTGTCTGGAAATGTTACACACTCTCATCGCGGGAAGGAGTCAGCTGTACCGTTATTTGATGACGTAGTTAAGCTTGATGCTCGTTAAGGATGGTCCCGACCGTCGCTGAAAGATAGTGCCAAATGACGGGCATAGACAGATCTGTAATGCCCAGGAGCGAACAAGTTCAAATAATTTTTTGAAGAAACTAAGTTAAAATGGACATTGCTCCCAACATCCGACAAGTGCTCTCTTTTACACATCTTATTTCTATATCAGTTTTTTCGTTTTCACCTGCCCCCTCCCTCGCCCACCCCACTCAGCCCCAGCTGCCTGCCAAGCATCCACCACTGGGATGCCCTCGGCCGAAACTAACATCAAGAGCGGGCATGCGAAATGTTTTCACCGACGGGCTCCGGATAACAAAGGGGGATCCCAACGGCCGGCAATCGTCCCGCCTTTAGTTCCAGTTCCGAAGTGATGTCTGTCTAGTTGGTGGCGACAACTAGGCTGAAGGTGACGCGCGCCAGGTGCGGCCGATCCAAACTAGCCGGCACTGTCACACTCTGTTCTGAGACGCGCGATGTAAAACCGCCCAGCTAGCACGTTCTCACAATCCTACTGGTACACACCAGCAGCGCATCCAGAGCCTTGGTAAGGGGGGGGGGGGGCACAGGGTTGACAAAGGCCCCCGACAGTAAAAGGGCCTCTCAAAAAATCCGCCGGATATATATATATATATATATATATATATATATATATATATATATATATATATATATATATATATTGCACATTTTCGCCCTCAATAACTGGAATATGGGCCAGACGCTACGACGAGACCAATTTTGCCTTAACTTTGTAGTAAATAAACTGTCAGAATCACGTGTTTAATGACTGCATGAAATAAATTGCCGGCGCTTTTCATTTTGCAATGGTTTCTTGGACTCTTTTTAAACTGATAAACCTCAGAAACTTTCTCAGAATTTTAATCTGGGTTGCATAAAAGTAACAAAGATTCCGCGAACGTAGATTGAAGATCAAAGTGATCAACAATTTATATTAACGTGGCAAGGCCATGTTTGTCTCGAATCTTCCACGTTCAGTCAAAATTGACTAGTGGTGCAAATTATGTAGGGTATTTTTAAGCATGCACGCTCGTGTTTCTTAGAAAAAGCTCGACCCCAGGTGTTGCAGTCTCGGGCCGAGCAGCCCCGCGGCTTACACTAGGCCGTGGCCAACCGGTGAAAGAAATAAGTGATACGCCTGAAAGAAGAGCCTTTGAACGCTTCCGGACACCAGATCGTAAATCTAGAGATACCCCTGGCGTATAAATCACCTGTGCGTGTTTTAGATTAATGATCAAACGTGTCGGTCAACAGCATCGAGAAATGGTGCTGGAATCTGGTTGTGCAACTGGAAGAGAGAAGGCAAAATTTATATTTGTCATGTTGCTCTCACTGCTAATCTGTTCAAAGAACATCCCCAAGTTGTGCAAAAAAGATTCACCTAGTATAATCATTAGATCTTACGAATAAATTTTGAAAGACAAGCAGAAACATCATTTTACTAAAATGGTTACTGTGCGTTCGGCCTCCGCCCCCTGGCGTTTTTTGCGGAGACCAACGCCGTTCGGTTAAACGAAAACTGCGAAAACTGCGAAAACTCGGTTAAAAAAAACCAAGTCATCGCTATCCTTACTCCCCGAGATAACGGCCGTGTCATTGGGGCTTTATGACGCAGTCAGCTGCAGGGCCTATGTAGCTTCACCAACCTCTCACTCTCGCGAGAAGGGCGGGAACCGCGGGGAATCGAGCTCCACACCTTGTGGTTTCTCAGAGTGCGGTAGTCAACGCAGGTGGGTGAACCACTGCGCTATCGGCACTCGGCGCGCAGGGTCAAACCTTTTGATGGTATTTGTTTCACTACTCGATTCTACAAAACTGGGAACGTTCTCAGGGAAACATGGGGTGGCCCTGTGCGTTTTGAACTCATTTCGACCCACGCCATTTAGCGCTAATGAGACCCTTACTTTTGTGGTACAGGAACCCCTTGAATACAACACCACCGGACACATGGTTGTCCCCGGTCAAGAGCTGAAGGGCAAATTCCGTCGCACCACAGTGTGCTCTCCAGCCGTCATTCTGGCGACACGGGGCGGCATCCCCTGGCCGATGTGGGGGCCCTCAGAGGGAGACATCATATCACATTGGTCCGCTCTCTGACGCGGGAGGCCTTCTGACCCGCGTAGTTGACCCGGGATCGACGCATGAGCCATCACTGACGTAGCAACATCCCTGCTCACCACAGGTGGTTAAAGGGCGGAAGGCCCACTGTTCGGCACTGGGGGCCCTGACCGGCACGGGACTCTTTTATTACCTCAATGTGAGCACTTATCATTAGTTATTGTTCATTCAATTGTCCGAGAGCCCGAACAATGCAAGAGACCCTCTGCTATTCGGGCTCCCGTCCACGGCCCTGTTGATAAATCTTCCCCCGACTGATTCGAGGCCCCTTGTTGACACAGAATGCCCTGTTAAGCACTGTGAGATGGGCCCCCAGAGCTCAGACCAGCACGAAGCTGACTGTTCGTTGTTCATGGTCCCTGGCCGAAATAGAAGAACACTGTCCTAGGGTCCCTATCGGTGCAAGAGATCATCTTACTGACATTCAAGATCACGGCCATATGGACGGGGGTCCTTAACGTGATCTACGGCCGGCCCTTCAGACCCTTCAGCCAAACCATCTGGCCCTTGACCTTTGGTCTCAAGAGACTCTTCGGCCCCTCGCCGGGTCCCTTCAAACACCGCTCTGACTCGGGGCCACTTGCCGCCACAGGGCCCTTGTTCGGCACTGTGGTCCCTTATCAATACAGGAGTCTCTCATTGCGTCAGGGGCCCAAAAATGGAAAATCGCGGAGCCCGGCCTCGTTTCTGCTTGAGAAATGGGTCTCAGGGCTCAGACGGACATGGAGCCGACTGTTCGGTGTTCGTGGCCTCTGATCTCTAGACATGCGCATTATCTCAGGGGTTCCTAAAACGTTGCAAGAGGACATCTCAATGATACTGCAGGTCACGACCCTACGGGCCGCGATTCTTGATTTGACCTACGGCCAGTCCTTCGGGCCCGTATACCCTCCAACCGGGCCTTTGATAATTATGTCTGGTAGGCCGCCTGGGCCTGTCTTCGGGCCTCATCAAACACTTCCCTTGGTCGGCACGGGGCCCCTGCGAGCACAGGGCCCTCTGTTAAGCGCTGTGGGTTCCTGACAGATACAGGGCTCCCGACCACATGGCGCTGTGGCCCCTGACAGATACAAGACCTCTGGCCCCGGTTTTATAGCTGATTGAGAAGTGGGTCCTCAGGCCGATACCGACACCAAGCCGACTATGTGGTACGGTGGTACCTGACCGACATATAGGCCCGTATCAACTCAGGCGGTCCCGATCAGCGCGGAGTCCTCTGGCCGTTATTTGAGGGTGTGTCTTCGCAGGTCCCCTGAATAACATTCCGATCAGCTATGCCCTTAAACTATCTAATTGGGCCGTTGATTGTCGGACCGAGTGGGTCCTCTAGGCTCTTTGGCCTTCCTCGAATACTGCCTCCGGCCGATTCGGGGGTCCTTGACAACACAGGGTCCCTGTTAGAGGCTTTGGAGCCCCAAGCAATGTAAATCTCTGACTCCGGCCTTATCCCTGCTTGGGAAAACGGGCCCTCAGGCCAAAGCCGCCACGGAGCCGACTGCGCGTGTCCCTGATCAGCGCGCAGGGCCCTCTGGCTGGTATTTGTGTGCTCGGCCCTGCGGGCCGGGACCCCTAAATGATGCTTCTGGCTGGCTTTTCGGGACCTTCGGGCCGTCAAATGGGCCCTGGATAGTAGGTTCCAAAGGGCCCGAGGGGGCCCTTGGAACCTACTAATGGGGACATATGCCCCCTGTGCCCCCCTTGCCTGCGCTACTGGAGCATAATCTGAGTGCAGGGCATTGGTGGTCTCTGACCGACGTAGAGGCCTTCGTTGTCCGAGTGGCCTCTGATCGGCGCATGAATCCCTCTGACTGACATTGTGGGCTTCCGCCGCCCACAGGGCCGGGCCCTTTAATGCGACCTCCAACCGGTCCCTCGCACTCGTCGGGCTTTCCAATCTGCCGTTGATCATCCGTCCCAAGCGACCCGAAAGATCCCTTGCGACCAAAGGGCTCTATGCCACTGATGCAGTGAAGGGGATAAAGACCCATTTTGGGAAAACTGCGGAGACAAGCCCCGTGGTTATACCCAGGTGCGTCATTGCAGGATCCTTTCGGAGGGAGGGGCAGAGCACCCCTTCGCTGAATTGAGCACCCCGTTCTCTTCTGAGCCCTTTGACGTCTAGAAGCAGGAAGGAAACACTGAGTCGAGGAATTGTAGTCAAATTCTCTCAACGATTGGTACACTAGGTACCTGAACGCATAAATACAATAATTATATCCACTTTATGTAAAAATTATCCGTCGAGTGAAACAGTGGAAGTCGAGTGGAAGACCGCAGCGCGGCAGTCTTAAGCGA